ATGGATGCTATCAGCCTGTGGCACTGCTGAGGTATTATGGAAGACCAGGATGCTTCAATATAATCATCACAATTATACCAAAGTAAGGCTTGACATATCTCGCTTTGCATGTAATGCGTCTATCTCATATATTGGTTTCACCTTTTGAGTTGCCATACTGACATAAATGAACATTTGCACGATATTCTAATTTTTCGAGTTTCACCTGTATGTGACCCTTACTTTCTTGTGAAACAATATTATGATAATCATCACAATTATACCAAAGTAAGGCTTGACATATCTCGCTTTGCATGTAATGCGTCTATCTCATATATTGGTTTCACCTTTTGAGTTGCCATACTGACATAAATGAACATTTGCACGATATTCTAATTTTTCGAGTTTCACCTGTATGTGACCCTTACTTTCTTGTGAAACAATATTATGATAATCATCACAATTATACCAAAGTAAGGCTTGACATATCTCGCTTTGCATGTAATGCGTCTATCTCATATATTGGTTTCACCTTTTGAGTTGCCATACTGACATAAATGAACATTTGCACGATATTCTAATTTTTCGAGTTTCACCTGTATGTGACCCTTACTTTCTTGTGAAACAATATTATGATAATCATCACAATTATACCAAAGTAAGGCTTGACATATCTCGCTTTGCATGTAATGCGTCTATCTCATATATTGGTTTCACCTTTTGAGTTGCCATACTGACATAAATGAACATTTGCACGATATTCTAATTTTTCGAGTTTCACCTGTATATGCACATTAAAATACTAAAACATTTTAAACCAAATTAATTGTCTCAGGATGGGTGAAAATGTATATCTGCAGAAGTTTCTTTACACAAAATACATCCTCATGCATTCAAGCAAAATAGGGAGATCCTACATTTTATTCTGGGATGCATTCCACGTTAGGTCTTCACATCCAAATTTGTAGGGAACTGAGATATCACAAGATGCATAAGATACATTCCTTTTTGTACAAAATTAGAATATCTGTATAGATACAGAAAAGCATTATCCTAGACAAGCTAAATGAAAAACTGTTTATGGTTTACTCTACTAATGTTAGACATTATTCCTTAATTATATCTACAAGTTACAAGTGCTAGAACCTGTTATTGCAGTTAGCAAGTTGGTTAACCTCTTGACATGGGCTCCACTTCCATAATACCCCAGACAAAGAAGCCAGGGAAAGCATATGTTAATATATATACCAGCAAGTTCCAATTGCCTGACTCCAAGCAGCTTACAAGCAACAACATATGACTGCAAATGTGTTAGAAGCGTTTCCACAGCAATTACAATTAGAAGTGGAACAGTAGTCTATCATTTGTGGCCTAGTAACTAAAAATTATAGATTAAGGACATGCTTCTAGAAAAAAAATGACAATTTCTTTAATTTGCATCCTATCATATCCAAAAGTAAAGATGACCTTTTGTTATTTGTAAAGGTTGATGCATTTACAAACAATAGTTCTAGTTACTACTGAGTATTCCACATAGCTATTCATTTAGGTCTTAGTTTGAGCTGGGATAATCCAACTCATCTTCACAACACAGAAATTAATTTACCTTTATTATCATCTGCTAAAGGAGCATAATCAAATTCCAAGAAGCAAATATGTAGACTAGAATATAAATCAGATCAGTACCAACAACATAACAGGTAATTTGTACATAGTGATAAGGTCACTGTTACAGCCTGACAACTAGAAATAAATTGAATATCATCATATAATCTGTCACATGAGAGAGGCTGAAAACATTCTCTTCCTGTTTATACATATTTCTCTTCCTGCTTATATATAGAAAAAAGTATATTATGCTTTTAAATACATAAAAACATCTATTTTATTTAGGAATACATATAGCAGAGTATAGAGCACTAGTTTTGTTCTGAAGTAGCATTTCAGCATTCCTTTCTCCTCTTATTGAGAGGTGCAGTATTTCCCAATTGATTTCTTAGGGAAGCATGAACAAGAGAAAACGGATTACTAATGGTAGCAGTAAGGGATATACAAGATAAATAAAGCAATAGTTCCAGGAACAAAAACAGCACCTTAGGAATGGTATTAAAAATTAGAGGCAGCACAGAAATGTTTTCCTCAAGCAATACGCACTGACAGTTTTCTCTCCGTCCCTACCACCCACCCCACTGTAGAAGAGCGACCTTCCCGTTTCTTCATGCTGAGTAGTCTCACTGAAGATGGCTTAGCTCACCTCTTGGCTAAATATTCCCACCTGCACCGCTATCCTCCCATTTCCGCATCAAAGACTTAGAAAGGAGCATGAAAAGCTATTTGGCCAGTGGGGTAGAGCAAAGCAATTGCAAGAGGTCTCCGATATCCATATTGTTAGAGGGGCAATACTGCAACCCCCAGACTTCCCTCGTTGGACCGTAAGGTTGGTGGTTATGAGAGGCCGCAAGAGGTACCAGCCTTACCAAAGCAATGCCAATAAAAGACCTGGGGAAAGGGAAATAATAAAAACAAAGAAGAAGCCGAGCCAAACCTCCTTGACAGACTGACACAGAGGTATGTGGGTGTCACCGTGGTTCACAAAGCCTCCATCTTGTGTCGAGGACAGCACTTCCCTTCACACCGCTACAGATCCATCACTCCAGAAAAGATGGACCCGGTTCTTTAGGACAGGGGGCAGAAGCCAAGGCTCGCCAGATCGAGGAAAGAGAAAGGGAAGCCCAAACAGGTCAAATCAACCCCTCCGTTCAATTTTCCTTACCGCCTCCTTTACCACCTCCGGGGGCGCTTCTCAGTACCGCTGCCTTAAGGCACCTGCCTCACTTCCTCTGTGACTGACCCATCACTTCCGCATTATACCGCCTCTCGCCGGAAGTGGTGGGAGGGAGTCTGGGGAGAGCGGGGCGGAAAATGCTTACTCCTGCGAGGGGGAGGACCTTTCTCTTACTCGCTCGTTTTGCTTCTGAGACGCGGGCGTTTCTTTTTCTCTTCCGGCTTTAGTATTTCAGAATGCGATAACGGGCACTGGTACTGGGTAATACGCTCCGTTGAAGCCAGTGGGTCTTCTTTCTGACCCATAAGCCATGAGGTTAACAAATCTTGTAGATAATCAAGGTAGCCATTTCGTTTGTTAAAACCAACCCCTCCTTGTCCATTTTTGAATGCAGACTTACGCATATTGTTCAAAGCCTGCCTTATATCGAAATGTGAAGCGACCAGTCTGGTAAACACCAAAGCAACAAGGTTATTTTTAAAAACTGACCTGTTTTGCTATCGCAAATTCTTGCTTTGTAGTTAAATCCAACTTCGGTTTTCAAATGCACCCTAATGACAGGATATTGCCTCATAGTAGTTCTGTCTGAGTGGTAGTGGAAAAGTAAAAATGCTTACCAATCTCTAATTGTGTTTTTTTTTTAAGTGTTGAAATACTTAAGATTTTAAGAATATTTGATCTCCCGGTCAAGGCTATATTACCAACAAACTCGTACTTTAAACATTGACAGGTTTATAGTATTAACTTGAACAGACTAAATCCACTATGTAAATGAGGTGATGTAGAGCCTATGCAGGTCTGCTTAGAAGTTTCAGAAAATTCAGTGGGACGACATGGTAAGTAGGCATAAGATTGTATCCTAATGTAATTTATATGGTTCCAGGCAATTCAAGTCAGTTGTTAAAAAAATGCTGGACTTCATGTAACATTTTGAACTGTAAATGCTTCTACCCAAAGAACATGCTTGTGCTATTCTAAAACTTTTTACCTTAAAAAAAACTTTTACCTTAAAGTTTTTGGATAACTGATAGACCTTCCAACAGAGACCTTTTCCCTAAATGTTAAATTCTTTAGAAGTTCTCTGACAGGCATAATGTAAATTGACTGTTTTTAAAGTATCAGTATGTTATTGCAGTATTTTTTATATTTTGCATAAACTTCCTTGTAAAGACTGTTAGGACTGCTGCCATTGGTTTGCTGTTTTTGGATGGTATTAGTTATTAAAGACATTTATTAAAAGTTTATTTTATGCAACTCTGACTATATGTGCTTCTATGTATTTATATACATTTGAGTACTGAAATATGAGAAAATGGTAAAAAAAGTTTGAAATACTTTTTCACTTGAGATTTATTCTATCACATGCTATCGCTGAATTATCTATCTCAGTGTTTTTATCCAACTTTGAGACAAGTACACTAATTAGAACTGTAAGGAATGTTTTTTGACATAAAAAGCCAAGTGCTCTTACAATTAATATCCTTTAAAAGCATACTTTTGAGTTTTATAAACTTATTTTTCCTAGTATCCTGCACTATGTATTCACTACAATGTTGCAAAAAGTGTGTGCCTTTAGAAAGAAATTTAGTACTGTATATTATGGGATATTTCTGGTATATTTTTAATAAACTATTTAAAAAAAAACTTGACTGCTCCAAGTTCCTATCTTAAAAAAGTATTTTTATTTATCAGACTAGGGCATGCACTTAATTCAGTAGGATTTTTAACTCTGTATTCTGGTTATATTGCTATTACTGTCATAATCCTTTAAGAAACAGTTAATTGATAACCTGATAAACTACTGCATGTTTACAGAATTCAAGTAGAAACCACATTGAGTGAAAGAGGAATTGTACTATTCTCATATTAGTACTGACATTCTAATACAGGTAACTGCTACATTTTAAGAATTCAGAAATGTACATACTGCAGTGGAGTTAAATACTTATAAACATTTGAAAACTTTCAGTTATGCTTTGTGTTTTAGTGACTTTGAGTTATTTATACAACTACTTGTTTCAGCTGGGATTAGATGAACATTCACATATTATATGCACAGCTGAGCAACTAACTTGTAGGAATTTTATATTAACTTGTTTTAAAGAATTAGTAAATTTTGTTAATCTTTCAGCTGAAATATTTCATTACATAATAGGTGATAACCTTTTAGCAGCAATTATTCTCAGACTGTATATTTCAAAATGAAAGTATTTTGAAACTTGTAAATGCCCCTAATGTTAGCATATCATTATTCAGACAACCAAAGCAATATATGTATTACAGACAATGAACTAAAAAAACTTGAAAAACTGCCATTTTTTTAGAGTGGCATGAAAACTTATTGTAGAGCAAGCTCTAAAAAAATAATAGTATAGCCAAATGTAGATAATTGTAATTTATCCCAGGGAATATATTTCAATTGTGCATATCATAAGAGGGAACAGTAGATTTTGTGATTCATGTTGCATCAGAAAAGACTAGCATTTCTAAAATGAATTTTTAAATTTTAGAAAAGGTGTCTTTATATATGATTTCCACAAATCTGGTCTGGGGAATATGCTTACCTCTGGACTTGGATATACATGTAAAATAAGGATATGTGAATGAATGATAAAAGTTCTTAATACTGTCAGCAATCACGCACAAAATGAATCAGCATTATTCTTAGTTGCACTTTCCGAGACAAAAGTCTCTTTGTAACTTTGTAGATGGCTAAGCCTTCTATTGGATTACACATTTTCAGATCTAGCTTCACGAGCTCTACATCATTTACCTCCAAAATTTCAACATTAATCTTAGCTTGAGTAGTGTTAAAAGACATTTTGATAAAAATATCTACTATTCAGTTTTACATAGGAATGTATCCCATTTCTTCCTTTTTCCTCATAGCAGAATTTGGTTATGTAACTGCACAATAGGATAGACTTGCACTCAGATGACATCTGATGGCACTGTACAAAGGAAGTGGGACAGAAATACTGTACATGTAAGCCCTTACAGTATGTTTGTCTTTCAGCTGCAACCCTTTGCTGCTCAATAATGCTGGACGCAGTCAGTGCAAGGGTTGCAAAGAAGAAAATTAGTTGCTAAAAGTTGTCCTTCCCATTCAGTGTTCCAAGAGAGGCTTATTAAACAGGTACTGGTAATCTGCATGACAACCCAACATAAATAATGTCAAGAATTTATCAGTATAGATTGTATTTCCATATTCCCAGGTATATAAATTCTATTTATTCTCATAAGAAATACTGAAACAGATTGTCCTTACTTTTCCTCTCAAACAGATTTGGAGGACAGGATGGAAATCATTACAAATTGCCCACATTGTATTCTACTGATGTCTGCCATCAATATGGTGATACTAACTATAATCTCTTGCTGTTAGTATGTAAGTTTAAAGGCTTGACACCATTTTGGGCTTGACTGAAAATAATCAGGGCAAGGAATTCAGAAAATTATTTAGTGTCCAAAAGACAAACTGTACATTTAATATTTTCTTTCCATCACATGACAAGACCATGATAAAGTACGATGATTTGGTAGTCCACTTCTTTTCTCAGGTACAAAGGACTACATATCAAGATAAGATCAAGAAGGATATCTATAGTGACAACATTCTTCTGAATTCAAACTAAACTTAGGAGCAGACCATGACAACCAAAAAGTTAGTCTTAAACAATCCAAGTAACTTTCTGAATATTCAGTCAATGATCACAGGATATTAAATCCTATGGACATTTTGGGATACCCCTAATATTCTAAATTATGTTATGAGAAAATGCATACCAAAGAGTTAATTATAAAAAAATATGTAATACTTGTAATTTAGCAGTGTGGCTCCTAAAATAAGAATCTAGCTTACATGGCACAAATAATTTCACCTGAAATATAATTTATTGGGTAACTGGAACTGTGGCTGCAGGTTTTCCACCTGAATTTTAAGAATATTACTTTATGATCAATATGTATACTTCTAACAACATAAAAGTATTTTTTGGGAAGCTTGTTTACTCTTATAAGGCCATATTATATTATGTATTTGTGACCAATTCCAGCAAACAAAAAGTTTACTTTAAAAGGTATCATAACTATGGAAGTATAAATATTTTCAAATCATCTATTAATTCATTTTATCATACAGAATTTCTCACCTACTGGGAAATTAACTGAATAGATGGCCATCACGGGGTATAAAAGTTTTTGTAAACAAGATGCATGTGAAAAATCTTGGCTTTCACTTTTTAAAGACATCAACACTATTACATATGATGTATTTAAGAATGCACTTTGTCTTAAAAACAATCAATTGTTTACAATTTAAGAAAGCTTTACATATGTACAAAATTACAGTTCAGGAATGATTTTTATATTGTAGAATTAATTGACACAATTTTATTTCCCTTCACTTAAGTTCTTTAGCTCTTTCACATTATGATCATTTGCTACTGTAACAGCATGGTCCAATGCTCGAATACTTGATAGAAGTTTTATTATCTGTTTTATATGTTCCCTACAAAGAGAAAGGACAAAAAAAGTCAGATTGTTAAAAAAACAAAGTACAGATTTATCTATTTGGCTGATGTGCAATGCAAGTATACCAAATAAATCATGCAACAGTACTTAAGACACTCACAAAGCTTTTTCCCTACAATGACTATGCAGTGCACAATTCAGAATAGATTCAGTATTATACCTCCAACAACAATTTGTTCCAAAACGTGTAGAATCTTAAACATGCTTAATTGTTTGTACTAGTTTATTTTAAATACATGCCCACAAAGTACTTATATATTGTAGAAAAAGCAAGCAGCTCTGCTATCAGCTGGGTGCATCAGCAGTACCGTGGCCCATCAAACTAGTGTCAACCAAATGGAGAATAGTTTTGACGGTTGCTGCCATTTTCATGCTCTACATGAAACTGTTCTGAAGACCACACAGAAATCATACTTGGCCCAAAATGAGCAACTTGCTTGTTGATTGCTGCATGGCACTGTGATCACATTATACCCATCTTGCAGGCTCTATATTGATTACCAGTAGCTTTCCAGGTGCAATTCAAAATACAAGTGGTTGCAGTATAAAGTCCAATATGGCTTAGTGCCAATATACCTGCAGGACCACCTATTGTATCCTGAATCAACTGTCAAGATGGCCTTCCCAGGAGAAACTGCTAGTGGGCCCCCAATTCCTGTAGATGAGAAGGACTGAGACTAGAAAGCACTACCTCTCCTTCATGGCACCAATACTCTGGAACAACCTCCACTGTAAACTAGACTGGTCCCCCTGGTAACAGTTTTCAGAAGTTGGTGAAAATCAAAACTTTCTGAAGGGCTTTTGTGGAATGATTATTGCCATAAGTTAACAGTATAATAATATAAAAGCAACAAACATTTATTGATACTGGTACTTTGATTTTGCTGAATCCTTCTTTGTTATGTCATTGGAATGTTTTGTACTGTGAAGATTTTACTACATGATGTTATGTTGTACTGTAAACCACTGTGAGTCAGGTAAGAGTTGGTGGTATAAAAATTAATAAATAATAATTATAACTTTGGTTCTTGGGGATTTTATTTTATTGATTGAATTTTTTAAAAATTCTGAATAATCTACCCATTTAGGACCATATGACAATGAAATAGAAGTGCATCTCTACTGGTTATGCTGCTAGTAGTTGCAAGATTCAGTAACACTGATCATGCCTTCTTTTTAGAGAGTGGGACTTGGAGGTGGTTATAGTGACTGTCTTGGCACGGTGTTCCTCGAAGGAAGACTATTCTTCAATCCTTTGATCTACAGTACTCTGTTTTGCTCTTCATGTTTAAATATCTGTATGAAACCCTAAGAAGTAAATACTGGAATTTTAGGGTTGAATCAATTTGTTATAATACACAGCTCTCTCTCCACTGATACCAAGATGTTCTGGAAAATCCTGCACCATTGTCTGAATGGAATGACAGACTGGAACTATGTCTAGCTACAGCGGTTGCTGCCTTAATTACCTCGTATTTAGTTAGATGCTGCAGCTAGTGCAAACCGCAGGACTTCTCACCATTCTTGAAACAACTTCACTTGCTTCCCATTAATTTACATTTAGGAAGATACTCTTATCTCTAAAAAGCCCTAACAGCTTGGAGCTAGCATACCAAAAGAGACTCTTTCCTCTCTCACATTTCATTTATTTAATTTATCTAAGACACTATTATCAACCTGATTTCTAGAGAGATGATAATGGTGGGGCCCTAAAACAAGATCATCTGGAAACCTTGGTTGTGAAACTCCTGTCTTAGGGGAAGCTTAAGCTGGCTGTTTTTTATTGTCCTATGAAAATGAAACACATATATCTTACTCATTAAATCAAGCTATCCCTAAATATATATTCATGCAAAGTTATTAGCTTTTAGACAGCAATACAAAATACTTTGATATCTAGATTACAAAAAAGTGCTGCTCATTAATTTTAAAAAGTTTCTTCTATTATTTGCTTAGTTTCAGATTTTATGGGTTTATTGTAAATCACCTTGATCATTCATTGAGGGAAAAGACCATTTGAAAGCTATCAATAAATGCTATAATAAATATAACTGAATATTTTAAATACTTCTGTTACTTATATAGAATGATTCCAATCAGCAAAACATTATTTAAGATAGGGTACCTTGCATTTCTTTTTTCTACATCAGAGCTTCCAATGCTGTTTCTGTATATTGTATCAGCAAGGTGAACGAGGTATCTACAGAGATTTTCTAGATGTGATACTGTCTTATTTCCTTTAAGATTAGTGAACCACTGTTTAGGGAAGCAGTTAATTACCTAGAAAAAGAAGATTGTTTTAAAAATAAGATTAAAACTACAGTACAATCTTATAGAGAGAGTAAAACTATAAGCTTAAAACAATGTCTGGTTATTTGTAGAGTTCACAAGAAGGGAAGATTTTGAAAAATATGGCCAACTACAATGTTTGATGCTAGTCAGCTACAACATCTGCCAGCTTATTTTAATCTGAAATTGTCCCTTTAATGTAATACCTTGAAATGTTCACTAGCTCACCTCAAATTATTTAGCTAAATCTTTGATATATAGAGCAGGAATAAAAATACTAATTGCAAGCTGATTTCCATGTAACTAGCAATATAATAAAGCATTACATTACATTAGAACTTTGGAGAAGAAAAACTGTGACCATTTAGCTGCAAGTAGCACATAACACCCTACTTACCTCCAGCACCCCAAGATTGCACCACTGATATTTGACAACAAAACTGCCAATTTTCAGCTACATTATTTTTGGATTTTTCTCCAAATAATGGTAGAAACTAAACCAAAACATTCCACTTTCCACTCTTAAACACCTTGTAATGGTACGCGGGAATGACCTTGGGAGACGGGGCAAAGAGAAACTGCTTAGGGAATGGTCAGATAAGAAATTGCATAGCCTGCAGCTGCATAGTGGGCGGTATAAGAGGCTCAGAAGGAACCCTCCCTAAGTTCTCGGGCTGCAGACATGACAGTGGGAGAACTGTACTTTCAGACTTGCAAGATTCAGTTAATGTAGCTTTACAATAAAGTAAAATTAGTTTATCTGGTGGTGTTTCCTGTCTGGTCTACCTGGTACGACTGACACACCTCCACCTCCCACCCAGCACAGCCTAAAATCATGGAGCTGAAATTTGGCTATTTTGATATTGAATTTTGTCAGGATAATCTTGGGTCATTTGGAGAGCCTTTTCAAGGAAAAATGGGAAATTTTTGCCTCCTGGAGTCTTTCTTCTCCTACTCCTTATATCTCTCCAAACTATGCAAAATATACTGGGGGGAAAAACAACTCCATCTTTTTCTGTGATATCACATGTGACCCTCCAGCTGCTTTGGAGAATAAACTGCAACTGTTACTGCTTGGAAGGTTGCCCACCCATGGCCCAGCAATTTAGCAATAGATGGTCCCTGTCTATATGCACGTATTAACCATTCCATTCCCTTAGCGGGGAAATATGGACTAGATTATCAATTGCCAGAGGTCAGACATCTGCCACGGATATTTCTATTTATTTCTAGCACACTGAAACATTTAGTGGATCTTATTGTAAGCCATTTGAGAAGCTAATCTTGGATAAACAGCAGAGCATACATGTAAAGTCATAACATTTTAATTTTAGTTTTTATACTATTTACAGTGGTGCTAGATTAGAAATGGAAATCAGGAAATGTTGCTGTTGTAAAATAGAAGTTTACATAATTTTTTTGTTTTGCTCTTGCAATGACAGAAAATAGGGAATACAGCTCACTGTTGTATTTTAAGCTGAAAATCAACACCTGGTCTAGTTTAAAAAATGAGCTTCATGGTTAAATATGCATTTGAATAGATTTTTCATATACACATCCCTGCTACTCTAGTTACTACAACACAGTGCCTCTCAATACATTGGTAACAGACTGAAAAAGGAATTTTTAAAAAATGAAATGAAATTTAAAAACATATTTACTTACACTTTGAGCTTTCTTAATGCTGTCATCTCCATACTCAGAATTCTGGAAAGCCATAAGAATGTATCTATTTAGCAAACCATCTATTGATAATTCCTGTAAAGTTTTGTTGGAGAATATTCCATGCCACTGCAGAAAGTTTCCCAATAGCTATACAAATAGAAAAGTTTACCATAAATAACAAAGCAGTAGACCTGCATCAACGTTTGTTGAAATCATTTATAGTTAACACAAACATTTGAATGAAATATTTCTTTCAGAACATATGAAAGCAAGCAGCCAAAAGTAGAATGGATGTTTTCAGAGCCACCTACAGTCTGAAAGGAGAGCAATGTGTTACAACCCAATTGACTAGGCCCCACTTATTTTTTAAAAAAATCTTTCTTCCAAGCAACAACCCTTTCCTGTGTGAAATGGTCAGCTATAATACATGAAATATCATCAATATCTGCTAGCAAAAACACAGTAGTAAAGTGACTTGAATTATTTATAATTCTATAATGGTCAATTATAAAATTGTAGGCTGGTTAAATTAGTAATTTATTTCCAAAGGTAAAGTGAAATTGTTAGAACATGATAGAATTTGAATATCTGAGATGCTGCCTATTTTAATACTAACCTATTAAATCAAATCTTTATTATGGTCATATATTGTATATAATTAGGTTTTTTAATACTAACCTAAGTGCTAACTGATTTCCAGAATTAAAAGAAAAAAAACTGCATAAAGTTCCACAAGTGATAAATAAGGAACTGCTGTGTTTCAGGTAATTCATTGTGTAATAGTAAGACTGAAATAACTATTTCTGTAAAAGTGTTTCACTGTTACCTTATGGACCTGGTTATTCCTTGAATTTAATTGCTTTTATACATAGTTTTTCATATTTCAGGTATAGAATGTCATTCCACCTTCTTTAACTATGCAATATTCTCAGTCAGCCCCCATATAACATTGATTCACTGCCCTTTTCACCACATGGTGGGGAGATGCAATTGAGAAAGCTTTGGTTACATACATAACTTTACAGAACCACAACTTTTGGGTCCAATTCATACTAAGGATTAGCTAAATTTCATAATGATATAAGATCTCAAAAATAGTGGGGTTCCTGTCCATTCCACCCCAAAACCAAGCAAATTAATTTGGGGAAAAAGTCAGTGGGATTATCTTTATCTCTTTGTTAGTTTACCTTAACTGAAGACCAAAACTGGCGCTGGAAAAACAAGTAAGGACCAGAGTTCTTGTTCTCTAAAACACTGAAATATAAAATATGTTTCAATAGCGTAGAAGAATTGTCAACATGTTACCATTATTACAAAGATAAATGGTTCTGAAATTGAATAAACAAACTAGAATAGCAAGTTTACCTTTTGGGATAAAGTGGCATGAACACATCATCATCTAGTGTTCGTCTCATTCTAAGTAAGAGGGCTTTGAGTAATGTCTGAAAGAGTTCAAATTTAATACAAATTATGTTAAAACAATATTTTTAAAATGCATTTTAGCACAAACTAAATCAAGTACTCTTCTGCATATTAGCTGTACATAACTCAATTAGGAACTCACTTTATTTTAACAGTATTTTCAATTAATGTTGTTCATGGAAATTCTTTGAGCAACAAGTACTAGAAGTAATTAAGGTAAAGATCTAAGACTGACACTCATTCTCACTATGTACTGAATAATAGCTTCCATTAATAATGGACTGGATCCTGCAACTTGAAAATTGATTTTTGTTCACTTAATGGGCCTTTGTTGCTTTCTTCCTCTAGGTATACCATCCTGCAATAACTCTACCCCCCCCACTCCCAAATCTGGAGAAAAAAAAATGTGTTTGTTAGATTTATATCCTACTTCTTCCTTCCAATTTCCCAACAAACACCCTGTGCAGCAGGTTATGTTAAGAGTGACTGGCCCAAATCATCCAGTGAGCTTCCATGAGTGAGTGTGGACTAGCACCTGAGTTCTCCCACTCCTAGTTCAATATCTTAACCACCACACCACACATATACCACCTTTTTGTTCTGGAGCTCAAGGCGGCATACAGAGAAATCAGAATCTATTTTCCTTGCATGAATGTTAGATCTAAACCACTAAATTACTCTCTGCTCTGTTTTCTTCACAAATTACTCATATGCGAAGCGAGAACATAATGGACAATTTCTATGTTATATCGAAATTTATGTTTTTGAAGATGGAGAAGAAGCAATCATGGAAATTATGACAATTCAGTAACAGTAGTTGAAGCAATATAGAGGAAGTCATGAATCCTTTTCTAAATTATATTAAGGAATTACATAACTCATTTGAAGACTACCACTTTCACAATTACAGGAATATATTATTTAGACATATTAAAAGTGAGGAGTGAAAGCATTTTAAAAAACTCAATTCTCCATGATTCCTTTTACCTAAAAACATCATAATCCAGAGAAAATCTTCTGACTTCTATTCCAAAATGCATATAAAATCTAGTTTATTAACTATTTAAACCAAAATGGAAATATCATTTATTACCCTGCTGAATATATCTTGGCACAAAGCAAACTATCCATGTTTGACTAAGTGGTATATACTTCAGTTTCACAAATGATATCAACACCCAAGAACTTACAGTCTGCAATTGTAGTCAACAAGACAGTGTTACCCTTAATGGTAAGAAAATACTTCATCAAATTTGAAACCATGCAGAAAGTGCATCTGTGGCAGAAACAGACAAAATGATTAAGCAATTTTCTGTTACCTGGGTATTTTTGTTTTCTGCATGTACTACTGTAGGGTATCCATTAATTAGTTTCTGGGTAATAGCAACCATCCTGGATGTTTGGGTTGTAGAAAAGGGGTCCCATACATTTTCAGCCAGCACTAACAAAGAATAATAATTAGTATTTCTCAGAACTCAATTAAAAATGTATTTTGAAAAATCACAAAATTTGTTTTTAAAACAATTAAATGCTACACAGAGTACCTGTTAATTTTGGTAAAACCACTCTTTCAACAATAGTAGGCAACAGTGAAACATCAGCATCATCTTTCTCCTGATCATATTCTTCGCATCCATAAAATAGCAAGGATTCAAACCACAGCATACTTTCAAAATCTTGGCATTTGTCCTATTAAAATAAATGCTGTAAATATCAAGTGGGTGTTTAAACTCAAGCTGCACAAACACCCCAACCATTCACCAATGGAAATATTTTAGCTGTAGGCTTCAGTCTCAGGATGTCCTGAATGTCAGCACTCCCTCAAATTCTGTTGCTTTATTCTATTACTTGTTCATGGAAACCTATGGCTTTTAAGATATCACAATCTTACATTCCTCATCACTGGCCTTCCTGGCAGGGCTACTGAAGTTGTAATTCAGCACTATCTGGAAGGCCAGAAGTTCTCCATCCCACATTTTCTTGATCTATTGTGTTAATATATCTAGATTTGAAACTGCAGAAACCACCAATCTTATCCTGATGTACATCTCCTTCACTGCAATGCCATATTCCAAGTACACTGATGAAGCTGTTAAAATGTTATACTTTACACCACCTGGACACTGATCAAGTAGTTAGACTACTAAAATGATACTTTTAAAATGGCACATCAACAATTAAAGCTGTCATATACACTACAGGCCCAATCTAATGCTTGAGAGAAACAACCTGTCAATTAAGAATCACTTCATATGATTATGATATTATTAATTTCAACTTAACATTCTACCTCGTTAAACAGACTGAATACACCTTAACATTCTCTCACCTCCAAAGGATTCCAGGTGATTAACTGAAGTCTTATTAAAGGATTTAACAGCTTGGGTAAGCAAAGTCCAATATAAGCATCCTTATATGAAGACAAATACTTAGAACGCCAGGCTTCAAATTGTGACTTAATACAGTCAATGGAGGAAAAGTTTTCTAATACATCTTCAAAAACTTTGCTGGACTCTTTCAAAATGCGATCTAGGATAGAAATGTTATTATTTTAATCTCCTGTTTTGCTGGTTTATTGTGGGATATACTTTTGTAATGTAATTTACTACCCATATCATTCAAGTAAAGAAAATGTAAAAGAAGATCTTTATCAATGCTTTACTCTAGCTCATTTATATATTCAATTAGATTTTGTTATTTTTTTCCATCTGGCTTTACACCAAATATTTAACCTGACTGCTTGAAGTATGTGATTAAATTTGTGGGTGGATCTTGTGATTTATTCTGTGTGGACGATCACTTTCCAAACAATTCTGATATGATAATGATCTGAAAGACTACCTCATGGAAGCAAGGTTCTAACCAAGCTCCTTCTCTAAGCAAATATATTTTTAGCAAACTACATATCCTACTTTTAATATGTAACAAATTCCAAAGAAGGCCTACAGGTATCCTGCCGTTACTTTCCTTAAAGCCACTCACAAAAAGTTGCACTCAATTAAGAGTATGAAGAGAAGGAAGGTACTTTTCAGTAAGTCTTTTGCTGCTGCCAAGAGGAGCAAGTACTTCTAGCTCCCTGCAATGGTCACTTATGAAAGGGAACAAAAGAAGCATATCCTATACTACCTTATATTTCTGTGGTTAGCAAGTCAAGGACAGCTATTACCTCTGCCCAAAGCTAAAGTAATAACGGTAATCTAGGTTTTTTTTTTCTTCAGACAGTATATTAAACCATGTCATGCTACCGTAAAACTTTTTTCTACAAAACACTGTGTTTCAGAAATTACTATGATTTCTATCAAGGTGAATCAGCTAACCTCGCTCCATATTGAAGTTTGTTGTATCTGTTGAAGTTTCTTCATCATCACTAGAAAGACCCTCAAGGTGATCAGCCATTTTCCCAAATTGCTCTCTGGCAAGTCTACGACGAGCTCTATTAAAAAGAATAAGTGAGTGGTTGCTCAGCTGAAGTAACGTCCTAATAAGAAAGGAAACATAATATTCTATAGGCAAATATGCCTTCCCTTCTTCATTTGAAGCAGAAATATGCTTAACCCACCCACCATGAAGTGAAATGGAATATACAATCTGCAGCCCTTCAAAGCCTTTGCTGCCACCAAATCAAATTTTTAATGCTACTCCCAAGAGAAATTTAATTAATCTAAATTTAATTAAAAATAAATTTTGTCAAGATTCTGTCAAATTCTTTATTCTGCCCCCAATATATTCTGAAGTGTGGCTCCAGAATGTCAACTGAAGGTTCAAAAAAGATTGTGCATTCCTGTTATGCAATGATATAAACTGTAAATATTTTATTATTTTCCCATTTTCCTTTAGTCTGAGACTGTTCATATTATCAACCTGTAATTTTCCATCCCTAGCAACTGCTTCAATACTATTCTGTGCATGATCCAAGCAGTATCCCAGCTAAGAGGCTACTGACATATAATTCTGATTGTGTATTTATCTCCCATTATGCAAATTCATAAGGAAAAATTACACTTCTTAAATAGAGTTACCATTTGGAATAGTTAAGCATCAAAACATATTGTATACTATAGTGGATAAGAATCTGCAGCCCTCCATATCTTTTAAAACTTCTGTGCTGTCTGGAGTTGATGGGAGTTATCCTTTGATCAAGGACAATGGGAAACGTAGCTCTCCAGTTATTGCTAGACAATAAGAATCACTCTTTGAAACCCCCTTAATGCTTTTCTACCTTCTAGCTTCCCTTTCGGCAGTCCGTCTTTTTACATGTTCTTGGTACAGCGTTCTATCTCGCCCGAAAGAATCAAGGTTTGGTGCCATCAGTGCTTTATCTGTAAGAGTACAAACACTGAAATTAGGACTCTATCTTCTGTAAGAAAATGTAATATTATTATGTGTGTATGTGTTGCATACACATAGGTGTTTAACAAATGTCAATATAAGTGCAATACATCTGTAAGTTTGATTATACTGCTCCTTACCCGCTCATCTATAGATAAAATAGTGGCAAGTGAATTTCCTTTTTATTTTCAGATAGATACTAGGAATATTGGGCTGTCTTCGATGTTATCAGCAAACAAAGTTTTAAAGGTTTTATCACATCATTTAGAACTTTTAGTAAACAGAATACTTAAAATATTGTTAACATAGATCTATGTTTGTATTTTTAAAATAGTGTTTAACATTTTCATAGAGAAGAAATATAGCTTTTTGCATATCCTGTTGAATAACATTAATGAGCAACAGGAATTAATAAATTTTCAGTTGATGTTAAGACAATTAGTACTGAAATAGAACACTACTTGATATCTGGTGTTTGCCACATGCAAAAGCAATAAAATTTGTGAAATGTGGGAGGAATCTTGGATAAATGTAGTTTACCCAACAGTCTTCTATCAATGAAAGCATGAGATTTCGTAGAAAAGTTACACTCACTTTTAATGGATATTTTGCAACATTTATTTTATAAATTAGTCCAAGCAAAATTGTGTAATATAAATGTATATAAAACAAATCAGGTTAGCACTAACGTTTAAAAATAGGAAGATATGACAAACTGTACCTTTTGTGTTTGTTTTAAAGCATCAGAAACCAGTTTTACTGAAACGAAAACTGCTAGCAGAATAGCCTTAATCATTTTCAGGTTCAGATAACTTTCTGTGAAATACTTTCAGGGAGTGAATAAGATGGCATATTGTCAAATAAGTTACTAACTTGTAAGTAATTTTTTACTATTTTCAGCCACTGTAAGACAAAGTCTGGGAAAAGTACTTTAAAAGTATGAGCTAGATTTATTTAGTCTGATTTTCTTTTACCAGATTTAAACCAAGACATGCTTTGAAATTTCACTTTATATTAAAACTGAACTATGTAAACAAGGTTGTTTAATGAATAATAAAAACCTTCAAGATGGACTGACTTGAATGGCTTGAAAACTCCGAAGATTCATCTTTAATATCATCTTGTCGTCTTTGGACAAGGCGGGAGGCGCGCTGTTTGTACAGCTGGTGCATTGCTGATTCAAGTTCGTTAATCAGGAGCACCTGTAAAAATATAATACTTCGTAATAAAAATATTTTCAAGTGTTTAACTGTATGGGATGCCACACTATTCCAAAGTGTACTGCTGCACTTTCTGTTTACTATTAACTTTTAATAAGTGGCTAATATCTAGTTGAAAAGAACAACACTAAAGCTCCCTAAACTATCAAGCCTGTACAAAAAAAATCCAGAAAAATTATAAGGCTACCACACATTTTCATTAGATTGCCCCCAGTATCTGCCACATTGGAACAATGCTTAATTTGTAGTAGTCTGAAAGAAAGAAAAGAAAAGAAAAAAAAACACTGCATCCAAAGCTTCCTCACACAAACATGTGCATATTATTTTTAGATGACTCGGCGGATTACAAACTACAATAAAAATAAGTCTCTCAGAAGCGTCTTCACAATTTTAAAACAAAAAAGCCATTTATGGAAGCCTACTGAGATTTCTAAATACTCTGAAACGTTTCCTACCAGGTTTCAGGAAGAGGCAATTGCCTCAAATCAAGCAATGGGATCTTGTTCTAGAAATGGGAAGTTCCCAATTCTATCACTTCCCTGGTCCTCTCCCACAGCACACTGCCCCCAGAGACATATCTGCTCATAGCTGATCTCCAAAAGGTTAAGCAGTAGTGGACCTGGTTAATGCTTGGATGGGAGACCATCATGATACCCCAGGGTTGTAGACTAGACTGGGAAGCTGAAAAAAGTTCCCAGAAGAAAGAAAAGGCCAATCACATCCCTACTGTTCCAGAAAAATGCACAGATGTTTGTCACCAGCAGCCAAGATCTACTGAAGGAAGAGTTTACCTTAAAGTTCACATGACTACAGTCTAATACCTGGATTTAAACACACTTATTTGAAAGTTATTTCTTTCAGTGGAATTTATTTGGAAGCAGATATCCTTAGGTAGGTCACTAGTGTTGTGGAAAAAAAAGTTTCTAACACTGAAATGAATTAGAAGTTAAAAAAATAAAAGGAAAGATGGGAAAACGTAGGAGAAATATCAGTGTGATTCTTAGTCATCTAACAATTCAAAACTTGCCAGTGATGCTGAAAAGATTAGAATTTATCTCTGTAAACTATTATAGGGAAACAATTCCCTCTTTAATTTTCAGACAGTTAAATTTAAAGTTTTATAAGCCCATCTGTTCTGTTATTTGAATCTATTTCTTCCCTTCTACCAATTTAAGTCAACCAATATTTTCAAATGTTACAGCAATGTTAACTGATGCATTAATAACAGTATTTTATATTATAGCATGGAATTTGATACCAGGATTCAGAAAGTTAGCTAAGCTATTAACACACAAGGATTTTGTTGTATGAGGAAGTAGCAAAGACAACTTTTTACACAAAGAAAAATTATTATGAATTTGAATACAGATAATTTCTCACTCCAAAAAGAAACTTTTTTTCATTATTAGTGAACTCTCTCTCTCTATATATATTATATTTATATTTATATTTTTGGAACCAATAAGTATAAATATTTTTAAGAAACCAGAAACTTGAATTACTGCAAAAACCTGGAAGAGCACTTATACCAAATCTACCAAATCTAGTGTTCATACTAGATCCCAGGATTTCACTGCTGCTGTTACCTATTTTAGTATTCTATTCTTATCTATGTTGCCACTAGAAACTGAAATATGATCTGCTAAAACAGGTTATCAAATATTTCAAACCACATGGATATACTTTATATCTTCACAAATGTCACCCTTGCGGATTTGGTGCGAATAAGACTTAAAATTCAGAACTAATTAAAGATTTCTTTCTTTGCCCCTCAATTTGAATTTTGCCAACCCAAATAAGAAGAAAGCAGAAAGAAACATGAGAAGAGGGCACAGAGAAAAGAGCAGCACAATTGTTATATACCTCACTATTGTTCCATATACAGAAATACTTTTTGTGAGAAAAGCACAGAAAAACTGTCTTCGCTCACAGGCTCCTCACGTTCCATAATGCACAATGGCAGTGTTGTAAAGTAAACAGAACTTTTCTGAAAAAGTTACCACTGAAGCTTCTAAATCACGCATATTTTTCAGTGCCAGTATAAATTTTACTGATAGCTACAATAAATTTAATTTGTTTAGGAGATGGTCCCATAGAAGATAGTTTAACTATGTGCATTTTCACCCTCTTTCCCATTTCTTATTCTCTGGAAAGATTTGAAGGTTAAGTCACAGCAAAAGAACTCATTCAAAATCCATAATCTACAGACTAATAATTGTAAAATTAATTAATATCAATCTGGATGTGAGTTGCCATGAGGGCAAAATTAGATAATCCTGCTGATTCTTCCCTTGGGAAAAAAATAAATGTTAATAACAAACCACAATCATATGCATGTTCAAACAGTAACATCAATGTAGTCAATACCAGGTATTATCAAATTATCAAAAACAGATTTGCATGTTTAAGTTCTTTGCTTTTATTTGCTTATATTTTGGCTCCCAATGTATTAATGGGTTACTTTCTAAACCAACCTTATAAATTACATTACAGATGCATTTAACTTTCATTAACAGAACATTTATCTCTCTTTCCTTCTTAATCTCTCAAAAATCTTCTGCTAAGGTTTTCAAGATGGTTTCTAACAGCAAGACATATAGTGCATGGAACTGAAGTAAGAAAAGAGAAATCATGGAAAATTGGGGGAACCCCCCATTCCTAGCTTAAAGAAAAATTACTTGCAAATTGTATGTTTATGTCCAAAGCTATGGAACCTAAGAAATAAAGTTTTTATTTTATGTTATAGTGTTATTTACTCTCTGATGTGATAGTTAAATCTGTTGTGATTTTGTTTAAATACTTCACTGGTGTATTTTCCCCCATAACTACAAATAGGAGACTGAACTATCCATGCACATAATCAAGATATTAAATTTCAACAGGAGAAGACAGATTTAATATATGGAGATAAAAATTAAGAAATTCTTACTCATTTTGATTGTGTGTTACTGAAATAAGAAATGTTTGTTATATTTGCAGTATAAATAGTATACTGCAGTAACACATAACCAAACTGAGTTGTACCCAATTTAGGACTAAGTTGAAAGTTCCAGCAGCAGTTAAATGTTCAGCTAGCAATTGCACGAGCACTAAGTAGTGCAAGCATTCCCAGTAGGGAACTGTGAAAACATCTGTGAAGCAATTTACACAAACAAAATCAAAGTATTGGATTTGACACACAAAGATGAAAATTGATTTTCCATTTTGTACTAGCAGAACACAACTGGAAACAATCTATAACTTCTAAGAAATACTTGTTTAGTAAGTCCACCGCAGTTCCACCAATAAAGTTGTTTACTTGATCGACAACTATAACACACACATCTAAGCATTATGCTTGTTTAGAGTAGTGTTCACAACAAACAGGTAACATCATTCTGTTAATTATCTTATTAAAGAGCCCTTTCCTGTTGGATTCTTCACACCTTTGTGTTTTCCCTATACTTTGGTTCTAAACATTATTAGTGAGAAGACAGAAATGTTAATTGTAGCTGGTGCTAAAACTTTAAGGTCAGCAGGGAATGTGTTTTTTATTTGGGAAGCCAACAGGGGTTTAGCATTGCTTAAACAGCATCAAGATAGTACTAGTCCTGTTAACTTCAATCTGCTTATACACTAGGGAACTCCTGTCAAAGACTTCCTGCTATCCCACTTTTACTCAAATATGTATCTCCTTCCCTCGTAATAATAATAATAAATTAAACTTGTATGCTGCCCAACTCTCAACAGCTCTGCATTTGTTCATCCAGCCATATGACGGGTAGATCTACAGATCTGCTGAAAAATTTATTTATTTATTTACTTTTCAAATGTAGTCACCGCCCATCTCACTCAACGAGTGACTCTGGGCAGTTTACAATAAATAAGAATAAAAACCAATTAAAATACAATAAAAACAGTAATCAAAAATAAATAAACGAGTGACTCTGGGCAGTTTACAATAAATAAGAATAAAAACCAATTAAAATACAATAAAAACAGTAATCAAAAATAAATAAACGAGTGACTCTGGGCAGTTTACAATAAATAAGAATAAAAACCAATTAAAATACAATAAAAACAGTAATCAAAAATAAATATGGCAGGTTCATAGATTCTCTTTTCCACTATAGTTCGAGTGCTGCCTTTTTTGGTATTCAGCATAGGAAGTGGCACTGAAGAACTCTAAGAATGTTTCCCTCCTTCACTAAGAAAAAACTTTCAGCTCATGGAGGGAAAGTCAATATTTTCTAGGTGCTGCTTAGATTTTCTTCTAATATTTTTTGTATAATAATGAAGGTGAGATTATTAGTATAACTACATATTGCATTATGTCTATATAACAATTATATATATTATACACTTTATAGTGTAAATGATATTGGAGCTCTGCATAGACAGTTTACAGTCTTTTATAACCAGGTTCCCATTTTCTCCATGGCAGGACTTCTTTAAAAAGAATTTTAATTTAATTGTTAGTTTTTTAAAGATGTTAAGAAAAACTTCCTATATTTAACAGTGCAAACCTATGCCTATTTATTCAGAAATAAATCATGTATAATAGAGCTTACACAGTTGTGCAAATAGCTGTGATCTTTGACAAACAGGCATCCTTCAACAACAGCAAGGTCAAGTAAACAGTATAAATATGAACTAAACTGGTTGAAATCAAATTCTGGAAAAGTTGTATGGCTTTAGAAGGAAGGGGCACAGGGCAATTGTTGATGTTACAGTTTATAACTCTCCTAGGAAACCAACATGAGAACTCAGCATGCAAGTGGAAGTAGGGCTTCTTTCAATGTTGTTATTTAACTAATTCTAACTGCAAATAATTGGTGCATGGGTATTTATTGGGATCCAATGTTTTATTGTAATTACCTCTTAATGCCTCAAAAACTGCAAAATGTAATAAAAAAAAGAATCTGAGCATAATTGCGAATCACAATGGTTTTCTGGAAAAAGATATCTTTTAAGAATTATAAAGCTGGTATCAAGAGTTTATCTTCTATTCCAAGAACTATTCCAAAAAGTTAACTTACTATGCTTTTACCACCTTTAAAGCCAAATCTTCAAACATGTGCTTTCACTGGCACATATAAGAGAACATGTTTGAGCACAGACTAAACTTCGTTACTGAAAAAGATGGGATATATTTTGCATTCTTACCTTTTCACTGAAACACTCAAGCAAGTCTTGGACATACCCTCGCATTTCTTGCAGAAATTTATACCGTTCACCAACACCCCCAGAAGATCCTTCCAATCTTTCAATTGTCTTGGTAGAGTCATCACGATTTTGCTGATGCTTCTCATGTTGTTGTTGATTGGCTTTGTGAAATTCTTTCAGTGACGCCAACCTAAAGGTCAAGAACACATACATTTACATCCAAAAGCTCAGTATAAGCTGAAGTATATACACATTGTTTTTTTTTGTAAAGCAAGAAACAAAAAATCCTAACAATGACAATGAGAAGTTACTTCCAGGAGGCTAAGCACATTCCTTCTTTCTGTTACAAATTTATTTACTCTGTCATAGGTTGCTTCAATCACAAACAACTCTTTAGATGAAAAATCTTGCAGGATCTTCAAGATTAACAATTTTATAATTTAACTTACTATAATTGCATTCTTTTTCTTTCTTGTTAATTTTTATGATTTTTTCTTCTCTCTGTTCTATTAAATAAATAAATAAAACAAAACCTCACAAAAGACTAATTAATTATGGTAAGAGCTTTCTGATACAGGAAAACTACATTGTCATGGTAGGATACCACATATCTCTGGTATTTTAAAGCTTTGTGTGTTATTTTAAAATGGTGACTAACCTGAACGCTATGAAAGCTACATGACTCTATTATTTCTATCTCTATTCAGCAAATATCCTCCACGCTTACTATTGCTACTTTCATCTATTCTCAGTTACTATGTGTACAACCCAGTGATTTTTGGCATACATGCACCCAAACATACAGCAAAGTTAATACTTATTTTCCCTCAGCTCACGATTTAACTGCTTAGATACACTACATGATTTAAATAAGACAGAAATAATTTGGCTACTTCTGCTATTACTTTCCCATATGGTGTCTTACCTACAGGAGTATCACTTTGGCATAGTACTCAGCACCCTTAATTCCTGATGGTCTCAGTAGAAATTAGAGAAGCATACAAAAATCATGAAAGGCAATTTCTTGGAGGTTAACATCAAGAGTTTGCAAATAGTTAACCTTTAGCATTTTTTTCTACTAATTTTGTTCACCTTCAAACTATTAAGGTACTTGTTATATATTCGTAAGCATAAGTAAATATTCAGTTAGTATACTGTACAGTATTTTGAATTTCCAATTAAAATAGTATAGAATTTAAAATTTTTACCTTTTTAGAGTTTGAATTGCTTATATTCTTATACAATCATCATGTAGTAAGTTGAAAACATCACTGTTCTTTCATGTTTCTTAGTTACAAAACTATTTTTCCCAAGAACAGAAGATGTACCAGTCTTCAACATGGTTCTAAGCTTCACTTCCAGAAAAGTAACACAAACAGCCTATTGAACAGTTTGTTTTCTTACGTTTTACAATGCAGGATCCAGTCTGTGGGCTTCCGTTGATGAAACTCTGATCTGCCCCCCCAGACTAAAACCTAGAGGACAGGTCTTACGTTTTAATAAGTTGATCTGCCCTACCTGTCTTTAAGCTGTTTCTTTACCAAATCAATAGTAACAGGAGCCATCTCATTACTGGGGGTTTTGAAAGGTATTATGTTATCTGTTTTTTGAGACTTTGTCTCTGATGATCCATATGCAGCATATGTGTAAGGCATGCCATAAGATGAACCATAAGGCATTGTCTGGTAAGCATTCTGGTAGTAGAGGTTGTTCACTTCAGCAGGCTGACTTGCTTGAACCTACAGGAACAAAACATGTTATGTACAGACATATATAAACTAGAACTCTGCAAACTTTATTATAAACCAAGATTATTTGTTGAAAAACAACCTTAGAAGTTACTGTGAAATTCTACCAATCTAATCATATGTTTCTTGTGCATATCAGCATATATCAAAGAAAGCAACACCTGAAAACAATCATTAGGAAATGGGAAGCATAACAGTAGCAGCAGCAACAAAAAACTTCAAAATGTCAGTTGTATGTATATCCTTTGTGAGCAAATAGTTTAGAGAGGTATCACTGTGATGATGGATGAAGAATAATGTAGTTCCCTCCCCTCTACAGTTCCCTGAAGTGAACTGCTGTAAAGTCCCATTATGGCTGCTATCATAAGCACCTTCTATCTTTCTTGCCTCTGTACTGGTAACTGAGGAACAGATGGCATTCACCAGTAGATTAATCTAGTCTAGGGATCACCAAATGCTGATCCTCACTCTAAAGAATTAGTACAGTAAACTATTAACACAAAATACTAGAGTAAAAACCCATTAAATCTAATAATCAATTAATTCTGAAGACAGTAATTCAACTTATTAACATCCGCATGTTATGAAAAAAATAAATGATTTTTTCTATTTCAAAATTCCACTCTAACAAGACTGGGCAGGAACATCTTCATATAGTGATTTTTGACATTTCCAAGTAACTGGTATTCTTTCAGAATACACAATATTGAAGACAGACAGACAGATATCATTATTCCCCCTTTCAAATCTTAATCAAAATAACTGAACACACTTATGTTTTCACAATTCTGACAACTGACATTTTAAAAAATAGCATTTTAATTAGAATGACAAACTACAACATGTAATCTACATTTACTGTTTTATGTGATCTTCATATGCCACTAGTTTGAGCCTATACCATTCACATTAATTGTGCTGTATTAATTGTGCTGTATGGAAATCTAACATAATACAATTTAACTGAATCTGAATTAATTTCATTAAGTGAGTTACACATCACTGAACTTTTTGATTTCAATGAGAACTATGTTCAAGTAAATTAACCTGGCTCTAACCAGAGGAGACAATCTTGTGAACTGGGGCAAGTAGGGTGAGAAGGTACAGTGGTACCTCGGGTCACGAACACTTCTGTTCATGACCAATTCAGGTCACGAACAGCACTGTTCGCAAAATTTTGCTTCCGTTCGCAAACGCCGGATCGGGTGACGAACAGGATCCGCGGCCATTTTCCCTGCCGTGACACGTGGTCGTGGCTTTCTGGAGGGAGAGGGGCTCTCCCCCCAAGCAATAAACACCTCCCCACCCCCCTTCCCCCCCCCCCCGCCGGAAGTCTGGCCGGGAAGGGTTGCGGAC